CGAATCCACAGGAGCCAAAATATGACTTTAATTTCATCCCACCTGAATTTCAGAATCATCTCAGGAATAGGTTTGAGGCCTTGAACACTAATGAGCGAAGACCAGATGAGTTGTGGGAGGATGTTAAATTCTCTGATGCATAACAAATAATTGTGAAGGCCATGGCCTGAATAAGGTGCACCTTAGTCTTTAGACTAACATTGTTGCTTCTCAGTACTCTGTAGAGGTCCCTGACAACACATTTACCTAATACAATTCATCTTTTGATTTCCTGACTGCTAGTGCCAAAGCACTAGTTGTGGAGCCAAAGCAAGCTGTAACTGTTAAAAACCTCATTATCTTCTCCATTCAACATGGTGCTTCCAGTTGGCCCAGTGGTGAGAATCTTTGTCTTCCTGATACTGAGCTTCAATCCGTATTGAAAACTACAGTCCTTGATCTTCTTCTGTAGCAAGCACTTCAGATCTTCCTCAGTTTCTTATAAAACAGTAGATTTTTTGGGGAAAATAGTAGATCTGGGTTTTGGCATTACAGAAAGGGTTGAACCTAAAATTGAGGTCTCTTTTCAAAACTTAATTCTGTTTCTTGAAAGTGGACAGATCCCTACTTCTCCGACTTCATTTTCATGAACTGGAAAATTGTGCTTGGGAAATTTGTAATACATCTGAAATCAGAAAGAAAAAAACTAAAGATATTTTAGTAGACAGCAGAAAATGTAGGTATCTTTGTTTTTTGTCTTAGTCTTTTAATATATATGTATTTTTTTCCTTCTAGTTTAGTTACAGATTTCAAATACAAATTTGAACAAATTCCTTCAATTTCCTTCACCCCCACATCAAATTGTACAACCCAATGATTAATCCCCCTTTCCCCCTGCACATCCACATCCCTCTGCTTCCAGCCTCTCCCACCCCTTCTGGATTCTTATACTCATTCTCCAATAATGATTTTGTACAGTATTTTTCCTTGTGGGACTGAGTTAGTTCACTCAGCATAATGGTCTCCAGTCCCTTCCAAACCCCAAACCAGAATGCTCATAAGAGACAAAGTGGGATCAAACTTAGAAGCACTAGTCCAATGTATAAAGAGACTGACAAATACAATCAGAGGATAAAACTGATGCATGGGACCTTCTAAAGATTAAATCTCTGTGCACATCAAAAACTTTTTCCAACAGGGTGAAAAGAAAACCTACAGACTATGAACAAAACATTTGGTAATATCATCTCAGACAAGAGTCTTATAACAAAAGTTTACAGAATCCACCTGGGCCTGCACAAGAAAAAGACTGATAACCCAATTACAAAATGGGCAAAAGACATGGAAAGAATTTTCACAGAGGAAGATATTCAAATGGCAAATAGATACATGAAGAAATGCTCCAAATCACTGGCAATAAGAGAGATGCAAATCAAAACTACAAAGAAGTACCATCTCACTCCAGTAACAGGAGCAAAGTTTAACAAGGCAGCAAGTAATAGATGTTGGAGAAGATGTGGCGAGAAAGGAACTCATAATCATTGTTGGTGAAAATTGTAGGTATCTTTTAAGATTTTATGTTCTCTGACTTACTATGACTTTTATCTTCTTTCACTATTGTTGTTAGGTGCCATAAATTTGCAAACAAATCTTAACAACCCTATGAAGAACAGATCTGAACTGTGTCCTATTCTGTGCCATCTTCCAATCCAGCCTCTACCTCTAATACCATATTCTTCTTTCGTTTATAGGATTTTCAGAGATCTGTTATTTCAGGAAAGAATGACCAATTCTGATTCCTAGACTGTCTAAATCTGGGAACTATACAGAAACCTGTTCATGATGGGTGACTTTTCTCGCATTTGGAACACCAGTGGCATAGCTTCTAGCATCACAGTCACCCACAAGTTACCCCAGTACAACAAACGACAGACAAATGCTGTACTAATAAAAATACATAACCAAGCTAGTCACTGGTATTCTCATGATGATTGATGACACCAAGTCAACTACAACTGAAAGCAACTCCGTGAACAATGGTTCTGAACCTATCTTAACGAGTCTTCCTCTCTTTTATTGACATTTCACATTTCTAAGCTTATTGTCTTTCTCCAAGGACCAGCCCCTCCTAACAACATGCTCAAAATACATGGGACAAAGCTTCACCATCCTAGCCGCCTAGGAGTTCTATGGCTATTAATTCTCCTGCACATATTTGTTTGTTCTCTTGACAGTTCAATAAGTACGTATTCTACTATAAATATTGGCTAAGACATTATTTTACTGATTTCTAGAAAAAGATAAAGTCTCTTCATTTTGCCTGAGGAAAAGCATATTAGGCAGAACATTTCCTCACCCTCACCTCAACTTTTTATTTTATACTGATTTACTTACAAATTCCATATACATTGTTGGTCACACTGGATCTTTCCCATTTCCTTGGAATCCACCCTTCCCTCTACCTATCAAATTGTGTAATCCCATGATTATGCCCCCAACCTGTCCTCATCTCTGTGTTCCCACCATCACCTTTAGATCCTCATACATGTTTTACTAGTTATATATTTCTACAATAATTATACAGTATTTGTCCTTAGAGGATTGAGTTAGTTCACTTAGCATAATGCTCTCCAGTCCTTCCCAAGTGATTTAAAAAAATCATTGCTCCTGCGTATTGTGTAGTATTCCACTATGTGAATGTACCATAATTCCTCAATCCATATGACTGTGATTGGACATTTGGACCGTTTTCATGTTCTTGCAATGGTGAATAATATCACTATGAAAATTGATGTACAAGTCTCCATTTGTGCATCAGTTCTTATTTTCTAGGGATATATTCCAAGTAGTGGAATAGCTGGGTCATATGGAATTTGAGAAAATAACCATCAAAGAGGGCACTCTGGTGTCTTCTTGTTGCTGTTAAATGTCTTTGAATCACCTGTGACTCATAGCAATCTGGTATCTTAGTGGTATGGAATAGTGCTACCAACCCAAAGGTATTTGGTTTTAATCAACTAGCTACGCCATGGGAGAAAGATGGGAAGTCTCCTTCCATGCAGCTTACTGCCTCTGAAAACCCTCTATGGGGTCAGCTGTGGGTCAGTTACATCTCAACAGTACACAAAACCAGCAACTATAAAAGAGAAGTAGGCAAATAAAGCAAAGAATGATATTAAAGTTAACTAAATTTAATCTCACAAAATAAAAAGCTATTCAATTAAGGTTGCATAGTGGAATGTTCTTGGGGCGATGGGAGAGATGCGGAGGGATTGTGTACCAGGGAGGGAGTTTTTCTTTTACTTTTCAAAGAGAGGAGCGAACTGGGGGTGGGGGGGAGGGCTGGGCGGGGAGAGAAGTGCAGCAATGAATGAATGGAAATCCAAAATATCTGTAAATGTTCATTAAAATAAAATAAAATTTAAAAAGTTTTAAAAAGAGGGGGGGGGAAAGCTATTCAAAGGGGGAAAGTTACTTCTAGTCTGAAAAATAATCTCTATTCTCAGAAGTCTGGATTAGCTAGATCCTCTACATAGAGTAATAGAAAGGTGCAGTTAAGGTATAGTCCAGGCCTTGTTATTATCTGGGAGTGTGAATGGGGAAGAAACTACATTGAATAATTGATTTCCTTGTAGCTATTGGGATGAGAGCCCTACATTTTTACTGACTTTAGATTGGAGGCTGCTTTCAGTTTCCTTTTGATCAACTGACAACTACTTTAAGGCTTTATTTATTTCTGCAAAATCATTTTAGTCTTTCCCACACTCAAGAGAAGGAGATTGTTGAGTACATGCTCATCAAGAATTAGAAATCATGGGGACCATCTGGAAATTATGTCTACTACAAATTGCCATGTTCATGGAAGAAAAATGGTACTGTATATGGTGGGGGGTGATGGAGGTTTCCAGAAGAGCATACCCGCATAAAGTATATGTTGATAGTTAACTTTAATGTGTCAGAATCCACTTAGATGGGGAAAAAATATGGCATTAACGTATGGGCTAAAAATAGAGGAAAAGTGAGAAGTAAAGTCCAAAGTCCTCGCTTAGTGTCTGACTCACCTTAGAACTTCTTTACATTCATCTTTTCACTTGTTGGTTTATTGTTGTTAGGATTTTCTTCTACAGAAAAAAATTTACTTAATATCTTTCTCTTGGCTATTTTCTGAAAGGGTGAAATATAAGTTCCTTAATTTAGCATATGGAGTCATTTACAACTTGCAATCATCAATTTTTTTTCATGTCTCTTCTTTATTGTTGTTATGTGTGATTGAGTCACCTGCAGTACATAGCAACCCTATATACAGCAGCTCTGAAGCCAGCCCTGTCTTGAGCCAGTCTCATTGACACTGACACATCAAGTCCCATTGCCCCAGTTACTGTATCAATCCATCTCATCCAGGGTCTTCCTCTCCTGTGCTGTCCCTCCACCCTTCCAAGCATCATGTCCTTCTCCAAGGACTGATCCCTCCTGGTCACATGCCCAAATTCTGTGAGATGGAGCGCCAAAATCCTAGCCTCCAAAGAGAAACTTGGTTTTACTCTCTCCAAAACAGAACCTATTTGTTTTCTTGGTGGCCCATAGTATACTCAATACTCTTTTCCAGCATCACAATTCAAAAGAATCGGCTCTTCTTCTATTATCCTTAGTCATTGTAGATCCAGCACACCATAGTCTCTAGACTAAGTCTCTATATTTTTCCCAATGCAATTCATCTATTGATTTCCTGACTGCTTGTGTTGTGAGTGTTGATTGTGGCGCCAAGCAAGCTGTAATTATTAACAACCTCAATCTCTTCTCCATTTATCATGGTGCTGCCAACTGGCCCAGTGGTAAGAATCTTTTGTCTTCTTGATGTTGAGCTTCAATCCATATTAAAAACTACAGTCTTAACTTTCTGCAGTAAGCATTTGCATTTCATTCATGTTTTAATGCTATAAAATAATATTATTACTTTTATTTTTAATTCCCCTCAACTATTTTAAAGTATAAAAACTTCCCTTAGATTGTAGGTTATATAAAAACTGAGAGATACAATGGGAGTTGAATGTAAAACTAAGTGAAAACTCATAATATACGCTGTTCTGACAGGGCTTGGAGGAACTCTTGTGACGCTGGCTCTTAGATGACTTTTGAGTCTGGAACTGAACTAGCTGTTGTGGCACATCTTGCTGCCAGAGAGTGAGCTACTCTATAAGGTGAAATATCTACCAGAGAAGGTTCTAGACCCTTGGACAAATAGCCACAAAGAATCACAAGGATGGTGTTTGTCCAGGGATAAAACTCAAGCCGTAAGAAAGGAAAAGATGGATGAATGAGTGGAACAAGGAGAAACAGAGATAGTGGGTGGAATGATAATATAGTGTGGAGATTGTAATCAATGTAATAAGACAAAGTATGTATTAATGGTTGAGTAGAATATCAACCTACTACCAGGAAGCTTTCACTCAAACACAACAAAAAACTAAAAATACGTAGGAAGGAATGTTTTTGTTATGTAAATTTGAGTCAGAACCAACTCATAGTTGACTCTCCAGTGGGTTTTCAGAAGCCATAAATCACACAAGAGGAGATTGCCCGTCTTTTTCCTGAGGAACATGTGGTGCATTAGATAGATACCCTTTCACTGGGTTGGTAGTGTAGCTCCTTACAACTAGGCCACCAGACTTATTTAAATGTTAACTTGTCTGTAAAAGTTGTATAAGGCTTGAGGTTTGGAGCAGTATAATCAGATTTTAGGCTGAAATATTTGCCCATTTCTTATTCTTATATAATATTATTAGATTAAAAAATTAGAAAATGTGTTTAGCACTCATATTTATTCTTATTCCATCAATTACCACCTATATATTTAATGAAAATAATTATTTGCAGTGCGGGATGACAAAGTAAAATATTACAATGAAATGTGCAAGGAGTTGGAGTCAGAAAATCAAAAGGGCTGAACTCACTCAGCATTTCTTAAGCTCAAGGAACTGAAAAACAAATTCAAACCTAGAGTTGCTATAATCAAGGATGCTTTAGGCAGAATATTAAATGATCCAGGAAGTATTAAAAGAAGATGGAAAGAATATACTGAGTCACTGTATCGAAAAGAATTAGCAGACATAGAAGAATTTCATGAAATAACATATGAGCAAGAGCCTATGGTGATGAAGGAAGAAGTTCAAGCTGACTTGAAGGAAATAGCAAAAATTAAGGCCCCAGGAATAGATGGTATACCAATTGACATTTTTCCGCTAACAGATGCTGCCCTGAATGTGCTCACCAAGTTGCACCAAGAAATTTGGAGAACAACCACTTGGCCAGCTGACTGGAAGAGATCTATATTTGTTCCCATCCCAAAGAAGGGTGACCCAACAGAGTGTGGAAACTATAGAACTGTATCATTAATTTCACATGCAAGCAAGCCTCTACTGAAGATTATCCCAAAACTACTGGAACAGCACATCAGCAGAGAACTGCCAGAAGTCCAGGCTAGGTTTAGAAGGGGTCGTGGTACTAGGGATATTGTAGCTAATGTTAGATGGATCTTAGCTGAAAGCAGGGAACACCAGAGGAATATATATCTGTGTTTCATTGATTATGCAAAGGCGTTTGACTGTGTGGACCATAACAAACTGTGGCTGACTCTGAGAAGAATGGGAATCCCAGAACACTTGATCGTGTTAATGAGAAACCTATACTTGGAACAAGAGGCAGTCGTCAGAACAGAGCAAGGAAACACCGCATGGTTCAAAATTGGGAAGGGCGTATGCCAAGGATGTGTCCTGTCTCCATACCCTTTCAACTTGTATGCAGAACAGATTATCCAGGAGGCTGGGCTCTGTGAGGAGGAATGTTGGGTCAAGATTGATGGAAGATCTATCAACAATCTGTAATATGCAGATGACACAACCCTGCTTGCTGAAACTGAGGAGGACCTGAAGCGCTTGCTGCAGAGGGTCAAGGACTGCAGCCTTCAGTATGGATTGAGGCTCAATGTCAAGAAGACAAAGATTCTCACCACTGGACCAATTGGCAGCATCAGGATGGATGGTGAAGAGATTGAGATTGTTCACAGCTTTAGTCTGCTTGGCTCCACAATCAACACTCCTGGCACCAGCAGCCAGGAAATAAAAGACGTATTGTGATGGGAAGGTCTTCTGTTAGGGACCTCTATAAAGTACTGAAAAGCAACGGTGTGTCTCTGGAGACAGGTGCGTCTGGTACAGGCCATGGTCTTTGCAATCACTTGTTATGCATGAGAGAGCTGGACAATGACCAGGGAGGATAGAAGGAGAATTGATGCTTTTGAGCTTTGATGTTGGAGAAGAGTGCTGAGGGTACCATGGAATGCTAAGAAAACAAACAGATTCATCCTAGAGAGGGTTAAACCGGGCTGCTCCTTGGAGGCAAGGATTCTGAAACTTCCTCTGACATACTTTGGACATGTTGTTAGGAGAGACCGGTCCTTGGAGAGGGACATCATGCTTGGGAGAGTGGAGAATCAGCGCAGGAGGGGAAGGCCCTCTGTGAGGTGGATTGATTCAGTGACTGGGGTAATTAGGATGTGTGTATGAGAGATGGTGCGATTGGCACAGGACAGCAGAGTTTAGGGCTGTTGTTGTACATAGGGTTGCTATGAGTCACAAGCGACTCGACGGCACATGACAACAATATTTGATAAGCATTTGTTTATGCATATACTGGTTCTGAAGCACACTGCTTTTAGGTCCTTTCTATTTGTTTGTTTATAGCTTATTCTTGGCATATAATGGACAATAGTTCAGGCATGATATGTTGTTGTAGTATATTGTTCTGTGCCCTTGAGTTGCGTATGACTCATAACAACCCTCCGTACAATAAACCTAAACCCTACTCTCTGCTGTGCCAATATTACTGTCTTTAACACCCCTACTCCCATTACCCCAGTCATGGAATCAATCCATCTCACCAAGGGTCTTCCTCACTTGAGCTGTCACTCCACCTCCCAAGCATGATGACCCTCTCTCCAAGGATTTGTCTATCCTTGCAACATGTCCAAAGTATGTCAGATGAAGCTTCAGAATCCTTGCCTCCAGGGAGCAGCCTGGTCTCACCCTTTCTAGGATAAACTTGTTTGTTCTTTTAGCAGTTCATGGTATATTCAATCCTCTTCTGCAGCACCATAGCTCAAAGGTGTCAATTCTCCTTCTATCATCCTTAGTCATTATCTAGCTTTCTGATGCACAACAAATAATTGCAAAGACCATGGCCTGAATCAGGCACACCTTAGTCTCCAGAATGACATTGTTGCTCTTCAGTACTTTGGACAGGTCTGTGACAGCAGGCTTTCTCAATGCAATTAATCTTTTCGTTTCCTGGCTGCTGGTACCAAGCATGTTGATTGTTGAACCAAGCAAACTGAAGCTGTTAGCAATCTCAATCTCTTCACCATCTATCATGATGCTATCAGTCGGTCCAGTGATTAGAATCTGTTTTCTTGATGTTGAGCTTTAATCCATACTGGAGGCGGCAGTCCTTGACCTTATGCAGCAAGCACTTCAGGTCCTCCTCAGTTTCAGCAAGCAGGGTTGTGTCATCTGCATAATGCAGATTGTTAATGAGTCTTCCTCCAATCACGATGCCACATTTCTCCTTATTGAGCCCAGCCTCCGGGATAATCTGTTCTGCATATAGATTGAAAATATATGGAGATAGGACACATCCCTGGCATACACTCCTCTCAATTTTGAACCATGAAGTGTTTCCTTGCTTTGTTCTGAAAACTACCTCTTGGTCCAAGTATAGGTTTCGCTTAAGCACAGCATCCTGGTCCAAGTATAGGTTTCGCATAAGCACAATCAAGTGTTCTGGGATTCCCATTCTTCTCAGAGTCAGCCACAGTTTGTTGTGATCCACACAGTCAAATGCCTTTGCACAGTCAGTAAAACACAGATAGACCTTCCTCTGGTACTCCCTGCTTTCAGCCAAGATCTATCTAACATTAGCTATGCCCACTTCTAAACCCTGCCTGCACTTCAGGCAGCTTTCTCTTGATGTGCTGTTCCTGTCGTTTTTGTATATTCTTCAGCAGAATCTTGCTTGCATGTGTTATCAATGATATTGTTTGAGAATTTCCTCTCTCTTTTGGGTTACCTTTCTTTGGAATGGGAACAAATATAGATCTCTTTCAGTCAGTTGGCCAGGTGCTTGTCCTCCAGACTTTTTGGCACAACTTGGTGAGCACATCCAGGGCAGCATCTGTTTGTTGAAATATGTCTATCGGTATGCCATCAATTCCTGGGGCCTTGTTTTTTGCCAATTCTTTCAGAATAGCTGGAATTTCTTCCTTCATCACCACAGGACAGACTCTTGCTTATATATTTTTTTCATGAAATTCTTCTGGGTCCACCAATTCCTTTTGGTTCAATGACTCTGTGTACTCTTTCCATCTTCTTTTAATGCTTCCTGAAGCATTCCATATTCTGCCCAAAGCCTCCTTAAGTTTTGCAATATGAGGCTTGAATTTGTTCTTCAGTTCCTTCATCTTAAGAACTACTGAGCGATTTTGGCCCCTTTGGTTTTCTGACTCCAGCTCTTTGCATATTTCATTGTAAAACTTTACTTTGTCTTCACTGCTCTTTGAAATCTTCTGTTCAGCTCCTTAATTTCTTGATTTCTTCCCTTTGCTTTGGCTTCTTGGTGCTCTAGTGCAATATTCAGAGTCTCTTGTGACACCCATCTTGGTCTTTTCTTCATCCTCTTTCTTTGTAATGACCTTTTGTATTCTTCCTGGAAGATATTCTTGATATTCTCCTACAGCTTATCTAGTCTTCGCTCATTAGCATTCAAGGCCTCAAACCTGTTCCCAAGATGGTTTTGAAATTCAGGTGGGATAGACTTAAGGTCAAATTTTCATTCCTGTGGATTTGATTTCATTTCCTTTGTTTCAGCTTGAACTTGCATATGAGTAGTTAGTTGATGGTCTGTTCCACAATCAGCATCTGGCCTACTTTTGACAGCTTATATTGAAGTTCTGAAGTGATTCTTTTCACAGATGTAATCGATCTGATTCCTCTGCGTATCATTATGCTTATTATCCACTATACTGGAGAGGAAACGGTGCAGAATAATGGGGTTGCTTTCACACTTAAAAAAGTAATGTCTAGACATCTTAAAATACAATGTTGTGAGTGACAGGATAATATCCATACATATACAAGGAAGTCCAGTGAATACCACCATCATTCAAATATATACATCAACAACCAGACACAAACAGGAGGAAATAGAAGATTTCTACCAATTTTTGCAGTCAGAGATCGATTGAACATGCAATCAAGTTGCATTAATAATAATGGGTGACTGGAATATAAAAGTTGGGAACAGAGATGAAGGATCAGAAGTTGGAAAATATGGACTTAGTGACAGAAATGAAACTAGAGATAAATGATAGAATTTTTCACAATCAATGGCAATTCATTGCAAATATATTTTGTGAGAAACGTAAATACAGGCTATACACATGCATTTCACCTGTTGGTATGCATAGGCATGATATTGTTGTTCTTATGTGCCGTTGAGTCACCTGAGACTCAGAGCAACCCTATGTACAACAAACCCATACCCTTCTCTATCCCTTGTCAGTCTTACTGTCTCCAACACACCTATCCCCATTACTCCAGTCACTGAATCAATCCATCTCATCGAG